CCTTCACACTAAGTCTTTTCGTACTAAAACCGTTTAGCTTTACAGCTTTGCAGATGATTTCGTTTCCATATCGCTTTTAGATTTTTATACAGGACAGATTTTCTTGTCACTTGAATTTTTTAATCGTGACATAAACGTTGCTTAAACAAATGCAAAACTTTGGAAAATTCAGTTTTATTTACGTCCAACAGAAGTGTTTGTAAATTTTAAAAATTTGATGTAGACACCACGTGACTTACTTATATAGCCTATTTAAATATACACACTATTTGATGCATTTCATTTAAACTTAATTCCTCGAATTTCTTAGATATGTATTTCTCATTCAATTAATTCAGTTCTCAAATTAAGGTAAAAAAATACATAAAAACTCCTTAATAATCTTCGTTAAAATAAACTCATCATAATCTTCATTAAAATTTGTAAAATACAGAAAACATAAAACACTAAATACATTTAAAACAGTTTTAAAAAGTTTTACAATTAAAATTATAGTTTCTACGCAAAAACAAGCAATTCGGCCAGAGAGCAAGAAGGCAGATTTTTTGGTGTACAAAACTGAAAGTTTACTTTTGGGGCCACTCAGCAAAAACACACTGAAGGTGCAGAAACTGACATAATTCACTATTCTGCTGAGTTTTAAATGTAAAAAAAATGGCCGCTCGTTAGGTTTAACTTGCCACTTTTAAATTTTTGACAGTTCTACAACTATTGCATGCAGATTAACTTGATGCATAAATATCTTAACCAAACCACATGATTCAATCACCTTTAAAGAAACAAATGTACAATTTACCAACATATAAGAATGAAAAACTAAGCTCAACGAGCCAGGTAACAGAGAATACGTATGCCTATATTTGTATATGAATAGTGCAGCCAATTGCAACGAAACGTGGAGATGCACAGCTACATGTTATAACAGTCCCATATACAAAATTTCAACATTCTACGGTTACTCGTTCTTGAGTTATGAGAGATACATATATAGGTATATATAGGTAGGTAAGTACGTACAGACGTCAAGACAAAAACAACTTCTTAAATCCATTTTACAATCCTTTTTGGCAAATAGATTCCTTTATTATGTCTGTACATACAGATGTTACTCAAAAACATCTTTCAAATGGTTTCGAGAGCAGTTGAAATAAGTATTTTCGTTGAAATATGATACCCGAAATTGTTGGCGATTACAGTACTTTCTTTACTTTGTACAACGTGACTGTTGTAGTTTAAGTAGTATCTGGACCACCAGTGTCACTTTGTGAAACGTGATACCATTGCCACGCACTCAGGACTTCGTGACGGTCCTGAGGGTGATACTCTTAATATTATAGAGAAAGTTTTGCCTTCTATGTTTAATATTTCTGCATATTAAATTTTGAAACCCTCTTCATCCTTCTACTCTTCTTTTGATTTAAAAATACTGCTTAAAAAAATGCGAGGACATTAACTGCTACTTAAATTTATTTTGTAGAATCCTGTTGAGAAAATGAACATAAAAACTCGAGAGCTTGAGTTAGATATTTTATTTAGTAAATTTCAGTTATATCTTTTAAACGATTTCGCTATTAAATTTAAATTACCAGTTAACAAAAGTAATCGTAACAGGCTGTCTGGCGAATTTTTATTCCATCTAATTTCCTAATTTAGAGATATCACAACCAAAATAAAAACAAAATACAGTACTTTTTAACACGTTCATAGAATGATTAACAAAATCACTTTCGTTATCATGTGTGTAGAACAATAAACTTAAATTAAAAGTAAATTGAATGTATTCACAATATCAACAAAGCATCCCTGAAATCTTCTCTTTCCCTGAATAAATACACGAGATAATCAAAGCGTGAAATCCTTGCCGGCAAGCTAACGCAAACAGCAGGGAATGCAGAAGAATTAACAGTCATCCTAAGCTGCCAATTGCAATCCCTAAATTTAGAAATTTTGCACTTATTTTATTACAAACTAAATTGCACTCTGGTGAAAATTGGCCAAAAATAGAATAATATAACAACAAAAATGAAACCTTCCACCTTCTTATAGATATAAGTTTAATTTTTAAAAATACATATTTTGTACTTTTTAAAATTACTATTTTTTGCACGTAATTTGTTTTTCATTAAAAATATATCTGAAATTTTCCATCAATTAAAAGCTATTTTTATGAAGTTAATCTTTTTCCTTTATTAGTATTCTTATACGAAAAATTCTTCAAATTCGAAAGCATTTTAAGATCCGGGTTCTAGAGAAATTATGATTCGTTCCGCATCTATTTGAGGCCCACCGGTGGCCGACTGATTATTCAAATTAACTAATCTAACTAGTTTTTAATTTTGAAAGTGTAACGAACAACTTAATTATGGAAATTTGCTTCTTTTATAGGTCCCATAAAAACCTGAATTTTATTTGTATTTTCTAGAAGGTTCCAGAATCATTATGCTTTTTGACATGGAAAATGTGCGTTTCCCTCGCCGGGACTCGAACCTTGATCTGTCTAATAAGACCCGAATGTGCTACCGTTACATCACGAAGGCATGCTGGAAGAAGGGAGAAAATACCTTATGATAAAAATCCTATGAAGTCAAAGTTTTACCGAGTAGTCTGAAACCTTCTTTACTTCATTCATTTTTATTCCTTTGTACAAGTATTGGAAGTATTGTAATCGCGAAAAATTTCAGGTATCATATTTCAACGAAAATATCCATTTTCATCGCTATCAAATGCAATTTAACGATGTTTTTGGTGACATCTGTACGTAAGGACCGAATGAAGAACTCTTTTTCCCCAAAAATTATAAAACTGCTTTAAAATTAATTCTAAAGAGATTTTTTTCGTGGCATCTGTCCGTACGTATGTATCAAGCATAACTCAAAAACGAGTAGCCTCAGAGCTTTGAAATTTTTTATAGACTGCTATAACATGTAGATGGGTACCTCCCATTTTGGTTGCAATCGGCGGCACCAAAGGTATATAACTATATATATATATCGACTCTGTTACTCGACTCAGTTTCTTTATTCTTATAAATTGTGCATTGTTTCTACATTCTTGTAAATTGTGCATTTTTTGCTTTAAAATTAATTGAATTGTGTTGCTCTTATCTTCCGGTTAAGGTTTTTATACCTTTAGTTAATCTGCACAGAATAATTGTGGAATTATCAACAATTTAAAAGTTTTTTAAGTGCGGCTAAGCCTAATTTTTGGTTACCATTGTAGCCATATTTGTTTACATTTGAAACTGAGCAGAGTAGAGGATTTGTTGCCAATCTGGAGAAACTAAGCTTCGCAACACCAAAGTAACGTCTCCTTTTATTATTGCGAATTAAATTATGCTTAATTCATTCTGGAATTGTCATTTTAAGTTATTAGCTTTTTTCTGCGTAGGAACTGTAATTTTAATTGCAAAATATTTTTTAATTGTTTTAACACTACTTGGTGTTTTATGTTTTTCTATATCTTTAGAAATTTAATGAAAATATTTTAAATTTTTATGTATTTTTGCCTTGCCGCGAAGTGAGAACTGAATTAATTGGTAGCGCATGCGCATTAGGTAAGCGGCGCTGAACCGTCTGTGAAAAATTGTTTTTTTTTTTTTTTTTTATTTGTTTAATTTCTTTTATATGTTGTTTTAGATTTATTATAGTATTTGAATAGAATATATGTGATAATTCTTCAGATGATATAATTTTTGTGCACTCTGAATTATAAAATGAATGAGATGTAATGCTGTTAAGTGAACCTAGCGCCGAAGTGTCGCTATGGTAAATAAATATAGTGAATTTTAAGGAGTGTATTTATTCTATTGTGGTTTATGCGCTATCGACGAAGTAGATTTAATTCAAAATTCGTTAGATGTTAATTCAATATGTTTAAACGCTTTGTGTGTTTATTTGTGTGTTAATTGCGTATAATTTAATATTCCGTACAAGGAAATCATGTGGTGCACACGTCATTTTTTTAAACTACAACCATCGGTTTAAATGCAAGCGCTCTATAGATAATTAATACAGCAATCTTTTCGAAGCACGCTACACAGAACAACTTCTTGAACATCTACTACTGAGGAAAATTCTAGGCAGGATCGTCTGCCTCTCTACTGATCGACATGGTGATTATTTATCTATTTCCGCATCGATCTTATAGATTACTTAAAAATTAAAAAGTTAATTGAGGTTCTTGTTGGATTATGCTCTGTTTGTAATTTTAAGTTTTGTCTACACTAAGCCAATGTCTATTCTACACCATGTCCAATGTCTATTCTACCAATGTATACTGAACATCATGTCCAATGTCTGTTGACGATCCTCCGTCATGTCCATCCTATACCGATGTCGATCTTAGGTTGCTAACGTTGCTACAGACTATTCGTTCTACGCCTGTTCGATGATATATCGACTAGGTAGAATCATTCGTGACGATTATGTGCCGGTTACAGATGTGCATTAATTATTATTACTCATAATTAGATTTTTATTATCAAAATTTGTTTTAATCGAGTCTATTTATATGGCGGCAACTAGTGTGTATCGATCCTCCGCCAATATCGAATCTACGCAATGTCGACGCTACAGAGAGTCGATCCTGCATAGTGTGGATCCTATGCAATGTGTATTTAAGCAGTGTCGATTCTAATATTATAAATCCTTCTAAAACAGAGAAATTTCCCAACGTTGAAATGTTTTTAAAACCCGGATTTGCACTGAGACCTGTTTAAATAAATTAAAATTCTTACACTTAACGAAACATAAAATAAAAGCATTTTAATGTCATAATCTCGTCCTCATTGAAATACGTGTGCTAACCTGGATAGAGTTACATTTTATATTTATCTTTTTTCTTATCAGAAGGAACAATACGATGGAGCACAGTTGTCCCAGAGCTGACTTAACGCATTTTACATTATCAGCTCTGGTTATCTTTCTTATATTCTTCTTTCTACATTGCACCTACATAACCTTGCAAAGGAGCACAAACACGGTAATGGTTGCATATCCTCGGATTTTCTCCTGAAAGATAGGAAATTTTTATTGCATTTTACCTTGAATAGTCATCACTCGAAGAGAATTTCATTTCATATCATTCTGTCATTTTCTGATTTCTTTGTCCGGTTAGTATATATCCGTTTGTATATTCTCAATGCAATGTGAATTGCATTCGAGAGAGTTAGTATAAATTTATTCATGTTGCGCTTTCGAATCTCTGAACATGATATTAAATTTAATGTATAAAAGTGATAGCAGCCTTTTAAAGTGTCATGTAAATGTTATTGGCCACATTTAATCTGCCTCAAATATTTGGAAATAAATCCGTTTCGATAAGTATTCAATAATCTTTAAAGAACTTTATTTTAATGTTACAAGAAAAAGTATCCAATCGAAAGTATTTAATATCTAGCATTTTCATTTATAAAACATAAATCATTCTTTCTATGTTGCCATTTATAATTTCTTAAAACACTCGATTTTGTTTAAGTTAAATGCCTTTCTACCATTTCCCGTGTTGCCACTCAACAAGGTTAAATATTATTTATTCAAATCAAAATGTGTTCATTTTACATGATCGGTAATTATAACAGATGGAAAACCAAAAAAAAGGGGGGAATCTGAAAGCTTTCAGATTTTCTATTACGCCCAAAATGTTTTTTAGCGATTTGTGTGTTTACCTTTGTTTATTAAATATCGATTTCTTGGCACTTAAACCATAAAATTCAATTCAAAAGCAATATTCCAAAACAATTTTAAAAAGCATATCTTTAGAATTTCCGATGCGCAGTCTCGCGCGCTGGAGATATTTTTTTTCGTACATTGTTGCCATTGCTCGCTTTGTAATAGTTACGTTTGTTAATCAATAATTCGTTAAAGTTTTACAAAATGTGAAATAGGTAATAAAACAAAATCCAAATCCCAAATTAGGGCTTCCAGATACCCATTTTCGGGTGGAGGATTACGTTATTCAAAATTTGGTAGCTGTAGGTACCGTTGTTTTATCACAGTGCGAAGAACATACATACATTTATGCAGACTCTTCTTTGTGTAATTTCTTTAAATATAACCCAAGGCGATATTATTTGGTGGCAACAATTTGAAAAGTGATAGCAGCTTTTTAAAGTTTTCAATAGAAAATGCCAAACTCTGGGCTAACGCCCATTGGTCTAAAAGAGAAAAGAAAAGGAAAAAAATGCGTTTTAGAACAGAATACCAGAAAGGACGAAATATAAATAGGCTAGTTAAATAAAAGTCCTTTTTGTGTCCCTAGTTCGATCAGAATCAACGTTTTATCAGTGGACATTTTTAGGCAACAGAAAAATAAAAACTCATCAACTGTTTTTTCTGATCTACTACATCCAATTTCTGCCGTCTTGTTTTAAGCTCAACACGTTGGCCTCGTTTAGATGCATTTAAAAAAATACCGATCTTATTAATAGTTATACAAGTTTTCCCTTCCAATTCATGCAAGGAACACTTTGGTTTAATCATGACCCTTACATCGATTTACCCTGAGCGTGGTACCCTGAGCATCATACAAGCGACATTAATCTTCTAAACTTCAACGTTTCAACTATCGCACACACCAAGAAAAACGCCGAAGTTGCCAAAAGCAAAGACACGAAAATTTTTAATTTACTCTTTAGACACATATGCCGAAATGCAGGATGTATTTAGTGCGTTTCACCTAATTCATGTAATTTATCAAAAACGTTTTCTATTTCAGTAGTTTTATACTAAGTATGTTGTATATTACACTGCAAACGTTGAAGGAAGGCCAGGTTGAATAGAATTAATTTCAGTTCTGCAAGTATTTGAATAGAAATATTAAATTTAATGTGGCAAAATAATCATGCAGGAAAATTTTCATTGGTACTTTCAAGAGCCTACTGAAAACATGCACTGCCTAGAGCTTAAATTGCGCCGGAGACCACCGGCACTTCTTTTATGTAACTGAACAACAATTTCAATAGACATTTGATCTCGAAAATTATATTTTAGCAATAAATTGTATTAAAAATCGCTTATTAAATTTTATTTTATCTCTTTACGTTTTATTTAATTTTAATTACTTTAATTTTTGTCGCCCAGACGGTATAGTGGTTAGGGGAACCTACTACGGTACCGAAAGACCCGGGTTCGAATACCGAAGAAGGCATGGATGTTTGTAACTGTATGCTGTCGATGCGGCATGGCGGCACTCTAAATATGCGGCATGCGGAACGTCCACGCGTGTGGATTGGTGTGAGAGGATAGATGTGGGAGACCCCCGAAATGCTCTTCCTCAAAATCGGCGGGGCGGTGGAAAATAGAAGTCCAAACTCTCTTCGAAGTAGGTTCTGGCTATTTTTACTTCCTTGTACGAAGTAAAAAGGAAGATTATAAAACTGCTTTAAAAAGAATTCTGAAGAGAATTTTTCGTGGCGTCTGTACGAACGTATGTACATACGTACATACGTATCTCGCATAACTCAAAAACAAGTATCCTCAGAACGTTGAAATTTTGTATATAGGATTGCTATAACATGTAGATGTGCACCTCGTATTTTGGTTGCAATCGGCCGCTCCAAACGTATATAAACATATTTATATATATATATATCCACTCTGTTACCCCGGCTCAGTGATCTCAGGTTCTTTACTCTTATATGTTTGTAAATTGTACATTTTTTGCTTTAAAAATGATTGAATTATGTTGTTTTTATCTTCCGGTTAAGGTTTTTATACCTTTAGTAAATCTGTATGCAATATTTTTAGAATTATCAACAATTTTAAAGCTGTTTAAGTGCCGCTAAGTCTCATAATATTTTTGATGGCGGCCATTGCTTGTTTACATTTGAAACAACAGACTAGTGGATTTGTTGCCAATCTAGAGAAACTTAGCTTCGCAACAACAAAGATAACGCCTTCATTTATTATAGCGAATTAAATCTTGCTTAATCGTTTCTGGAATTTTTTCGAGGAAATAAGTGTTTAAGATTTACTTCGTAATTTTTAATACATATATTTTGAGTTTTTTATGTGTTTTTGGCCTTCTCGCGAAGTGAGAACTGAATTAATTGAATGAGAAATACTCAATCGTCTGTGAAAAACTTGTTTCTTTTTTTGTTTTGTTTGCTTAATTTCTTTTATACATCGTTCCAGCTTTATTATAATATTTGAATAGAACATGTGGCAACGATTAGATAATTATTTAAATGATATAAATTTTGTGCATTCTGAATTATAATATGAACAAAATATAATACTGTTAAGTGAATCTAACGCCAGAGAGTCACTATGATAAACAAATAGAATTAATTTTAAAAAATGCATTTATTCTATTGTCGTTAATGCGCTGTTGGCGAAGTAGATTTAATTCATTCCAATAAGTGTAAATGAAATGCAAGAAAAAATGCGTATAATTTAATATTCCGTACAAGGAAGTCATGTGGTGTACACATCAGATTTTTTTTTCCATGTAATAGGGACAAGACAACAACAATCTTTAATTATTTTAATAAATAAATTAATTTTGAATTAATTAAATAACAATTATCTGTTAAATAATAGTTAATAAATATTGATTATTAATAACCGTCAAATAATAATTAATTTGATATCATCACCTACTGACTTTTTGAATTATTAATGATTTTAAAAGCCATTTTATTTATTTATTTACTCTTGTTCTTTCCTGACGGTCTTCCATAGGGATCCGGCACTTCTGCTTTTAGAAATTAAGCCCTGGCACTCTCATTAAATGCAGTAATAAATATAAAATTACTTTTAATAAGCGTAGGAAAAGATTTAACAGTTAAGGCTGAAATGATTGCGCGTTTTATGGATTAGCAGCGCCATCTTTCGGTCGTTGGAAATTCGAAATTAAATATTACGTTGAAAGCAATTCGCTATTACGTTGATATACTCGGAAATTACAAAAGTTAACAGTCATTCTTTTCAATCGTTCTGAATTAAGTTTCAATGTTTGGTACTGATGCTAAATTTTTAAAATATGGTTTGACCGAGATATATAAAACGAGTAAATTTTTAATAAATCATAATTTTAATTTGCTTCAAATTCATTCGAACTTAAGCTTCAATTTTCACAGTTTATTTGGCACTAATCCTAAAAAGGCATTCAAAAATGCCGTTTGTTTTTTAAATGCGCCTTCACATAGCATATCTGTAACCATATTCGAAATGCATTATTTAACATTTTATTTCACATGAACTAAAAAATGAACCACCAAAAAGGTTTCTTAATACTTTGGATCCCGTAGGAGAGCGTAACAGTCTCTCTGAGAGAGAACTTTTAAAATAAAAACATTAAGAATTATACTAAATTTGTCTGAAAAACAAATTTTGTTTTCTAGTTATAAGAAACTTATTACATTTTTCGTTTAAATTTTAAAATTTCTGAAAGAATAGACAATATATTTTGTGACACATAATAAAAAGTAGAAATACTGAACACCTTAGCGCTATCTGTCAGAAGGTGCGAACTCAAATTAAAATATTCGCTGGAAATTGAACAGCAGCTTATGTCTGTCGGTCATAAAACTAGGACTGAATGAAGGGGCGAGTGGCTAAAGATGCTAAACATTGTAAGTTCCTCAAAAACATCCGTGACTTTGGCATGATGGTACCAAAAACATGCACCATTATGCCAAAGTCATGGATCTTCAAGCCCACCAGCGGCCAAGCGGTAACGTCGCTGAACACTGGTAGTTCGGTCCGAGGTTCGAATCCCGCGAACGGGCTGGCTGCATGGGTGTTTTCGTGGTTTTTCCCATGTGTAACGTGATACGAGCCAGTTTCCCTTAAAAAGTCCTCCACGAAGGCATCCCTCCCTTAAGGCAGATAGCCCTCAAGTGCTTTGCCATAATCTAATAAACCAAACCAAAACCACGGATCTTCAAAATCCTCACATCGAAGAAAATTCATTAAAATATTTCCAGATTTTGAATTCATCTCAGCGACTATACTGTATTTTTCTAATACTATAAAATTTCAAAAAGTAAACTGAAAATATATGTTTAAAAAAAAAAAAAAAAAAAAAAAGATGTGGAGGGAAAAGGAAAAGAAAAATTACAAATTAACAATTTTAGCTTAGTTTGATGATACGTTCGAAACATAGACTTCTACAGTTCTAAACAGCTGCCAATAAGTGACAAAAAAAATTAATTAATTAATGAATTAAATTTTAAAATAAAAAAAAAATCTGGAAGGGTTCAAATTTTAACGATCGCCCAAAAAGATTTGGTAAGTTTTTTTTAAGTTCTCTCTGAGCTCATAGTCTACTAGTTTGCTGTTACACTCTCACTCATTTCCTGTTAACCCATTTCTGTCTAGTTTTATTATTAAGCACCATTTACTTTACACTTACGCATCATATACCAGGGATTCTCAACCGGTGGCACGCGTACAAGAGAAAAGTGGGCGGTACGCAAAGAAGCAAAATATTTTTACCTATTAAATTCAAGAATTAAAACCTCGACATCCTGACTGAGGTTTTTCGCTAACACCCATAAATTTGTGCGATTTGAGCTTTGTTCAAGAGTGGTGATGATAGTAGTACTTTGTAGTGGTGGTACTAAATGTTTTCAGCTTTTGTTTAGCTGGTACGTGTTAGTCAAATGGTTGAGAACCGCTGGCATATACACAATTCAACAAAAAATTATAAAAATTTTAAAAGCAGAATAGCACGCTTAGAATTCCCAGATGCAACGTTTAAGTGTTGGCATAGTTTTTTTTTTTTTTTTTTTTTTTTTTTTTTTTTTTTTTTGTTTTCAGTCTATACTCAGTTGATGATATCAATGTTCCGTTATATTACTAAGATGGCTTTGCAAAACGTTTTTGTCTTTTTATTAATAAAGTTTTGTGCGTTTACTAATTAAATATAACGTTTGTGGCGCTGCGCCACTTAAAATTCGATTTAACAGCAAAACCACAAAATATTTAAGAAAGCATAGTTTTAGAACTTTTGATAGGCAGTCTTGCGTGCTGGAAATAAAAATGTTTTATGCTCGTACAGTGTTGCCAGTGCTCCTTTTGAAACCGTTGAGTTTGTTAATCAAAAATTCATAAAAGTTTTATAAACTATGAAATAGAAAAATCACGGATAAACTTTTACCACCACCTAATTTGTTGTTTCACGGCGAACGGCTTAACTACAAAAGCATTTTTCCAGGCTATAATATAAATGCAAACTACAAAGACACAGAAAAAAAAAACGACGCAGCAAGAAGGAGTTATCCGAATGGGACGAAAATCGATAGAAGTGACGTACTTGTACAGAAAAACAAATGATTACAGTTTGAGAAAAATTGAATTATTTACTGAAGTGATAGAGCTTCACAAAGTGAAAAAGTCAGTAACGCGTTTGTCCACCTCGGGCCCTTATGCAAGCAGTTATTCGGCTTGGCATCGATTGATAGTGGTTGCGGATGTCCTCCTGAGGGATATCGTGCCAAATTCTGTCCAACTGGCGTGTTAGATAGTCAACATTCCGAGCTGGTTGGAGGGCCTTGCTCATAATGCTCCAGACGTGCTCAGTAGGAGAGAGATCCGGCAACCTTATCGACCTTATTGGCCAGGGTAATGTTCGGCAAGCAGTAGAAACATGTGCAATGTGGGGGCGGGCATTATCTTGCTGAAATGTAAGCCCACGATGGCGTGACATGAAGGACAACACAACGGGCCTTAGAACTTCGTCGACGTACCGCTGTGCTGTAAGGTTGCGACGGATGACAACCAAAGGGGCCTACTATGAAATGAAATGGCACCCTAGACCATCACTCTTGGTTGTCGGCCTATCTGCCGGAAGACAATCAGGTTGGCATCACATCACTGTTCGGGAGGTCTCCAGACTCGCCTTCGCTGGTCATCGGTGCTCAGTTCAAAGCGCGGCTCTTCACTGAAGATTATTCTACTCCAGTAAGTAACATTCCAGTGCGAATGAGCCCGAGTTTAATAAGCGAGGAAAATTTGCAACGAGCAAACGAGCTTCACGTTGTACAGAGGTCAATGGTAAACGGCGCAAGGAGCGCCGTGACCTCAGCCCCTTTCTGTGAGCCGTCTATGAATGGTTCTTGCGGTCACTGAAGCACTAGTTGCAAGTACAATCGATGATAATGATGCATCTGGTGCTGAGAATGCCGCTCTGACGATTGCTCAGTCTTCACGTTCTATCGTTTCTCTAGGCCTACCGCTTCCTTCTTGACGCTGTATGCGGCCATGGTTTATCCATTCCTGCCAACATCGTCTATTAGTGGCATCGCTCCTGCTATTCGCCGATAAGACCCACCGGCTTCTTTGAGTCTAACTACACGACCTCTCTCAAAATCTGACATCTGCGCATATCGTTCGTGCACCTGTATGCAAGGCATAGTTACTGTCTACCAGAGTACACGGAATGAACTTCGTGAAAAATTTATGACCTGGAATCGTAATTTCTCCTCTTAAATGTCCTGCCAGTTGCGCACATCAGATGCGCTGTAGCGATAACCTTTCATTCATTGGCAGCCCAAATGTAAAATTATGCATTTTCCGTCGAAACCTGTATGCATATCAATTTGCGTCCAATTTGCTTTATATCTTCTCGGTGTGTCTTATATATATATATATATAAGTGTGTAGTTTCCCTTATAATCCCTCTCCTCTTAGGCAAGTAGCACTGGCATACTTTGACATCAGCACGGAATATAATGAGTATATACTATATACTCCGTGGCCATCAGTTAAGCAAGGTGCAAGTCAGTTAAAATGGCTACCTATCGTCACGGTAGGCTAAACATCGGCATATTGACAAGATATAGGATGTCGTTACTGTGTTATAGAATTGCTAACAAAATCAATACTGCTGGAAATGATTGAAACTCCATCAATGACGCTTTATAACTCATTTTTATAATGATTGTAACACATGATACTCAAAATTATCATGTGGTCACTTAAATAACACTCAAATTAATAACAAATCAATTTATCATGTGATCGAATGTTTGCTTTTCGGACTATAACGTATATCTCTTATAAAACTTATAATGCATATAAAACTGATAATGCATATAAAACTTATTATGCATATAACACTTATCCTCACTTTTGCGGTAAATTGCTTTTAAATAACACATGGACACTTATAACGTTTTTAACTTATTGTCAATTTTTTCAGTGTATCGCTCCATGTGGAATTAAACTAAAACTTTTCCATCATTAACAATAACAAATAATATTTTTTAAAAATTAAGTCAAAATTTTCTACTTAGGTTCAATTTCGTACAAAGAAAAATTTTAAAATACAAAAAAAAAAAAAAAAAAAAAAAAAAGTTTAAAAATACTTTAATATGAGAAAAAAACTGTATTAACATCAAGTGTCATTGACTACAAGTTTAAAGAAATGCATTTGAACTGAGTGGATTAATAAAAAGTATTTCATTAACGATTGAAAATTAATTAATTAATAATTAATTAAATAAATAAAATTAATATGTGGAAAAAAACTCTATAACATCAAGTGTCATCTACTACAAGTTTAGAAAAATGTATCTGAACTTGAGTGGATGAATAAAAAGCGTTTTATTAACGATTGAAAATTTTAACAAGATATAGGGAGAGTGTGAGCTAATAGTAGGAATTTAAAAAGAAAAAAAAGACTCGAAATATAGGAACTCTGTCATGATATCTAGTAACAAACAGTGAATCTCTCGTGTTGTGAAAATTTTGTTCAGATGATCTCTGTCACGTTCACACGCAATTTTAATTTGCGTGTGAACATCGTCTGTCCTCCTGATCGATGAGATGCGCTTGTGTATAAAAATGTTACTCATTTCTGAAAACGGACAGTTGTTCCGTGACTATCTCGCGTGTACTCATGCAAAGATTTGTATCGTAGGTAAATTTCGAATTTCGAAACGCTCGAATGTCATGGAATTAAGCCGTGAAGAGATTTCTGATGAAGGTGTGGAGTTGAAGTCTCCTTTTCCTGTCATTCCTCCAGTCAAAGATTCCAAGTGGTAAGTGTATTATTCTTTATCTTGTCTTCTAATTAGAAATGACTATTAAAAAATAAAATATTATGAATAGAAATTAAACAATGGAACTGAAATAATTAATTCAGCTTTTTAAGTCAGGAAATTCAGAATAAATTCAGATCATTTCATGTCTTACTGAAAGAACCTGCATCTTTCAAATTTTACTAAAATTAAACTTTTTTTAGCACTCAATTATTGTAATGGCATTGTTGATTGAGGAAATCTAAAACGTACAGTGCCTCGCATTTGTTGTCGGTCAGTTGTGTTTTTTAGTTTTATTTACAAATTTCATGTACTAAATATTAGCAAAATCCATTTATTCTTCTTTAACATATACTATTTTGTAGAGTCATTAGGTTAGTTTGAAGAAGGAGACGTGAGAAATATGCAATGTCCTCTCTGGGACTCGAACCCTGGACCTCTCGAATACGCGCCGAGTGTGCTACCGTTACACACGACCGCATGCTGGAAGGAGAGAGAAAATACTTTATAATTTGTCTAGACTACATATGCATAAACATGCATAATACCAAAACGCCAACCTCATAAATATGTAATCCTCTCAATGCATACTCTTTTTGTATTTTGTACTTTTTTATTCTCAAACTGTTTTCCGTAATTTGTCAGAATTTCAAATTATGGTTTTTAATTAATTTAATTACTATGCTTACTTACATAATCAATTCCCTGTACCCTGTCAAATTATCTTTCTGTGTACAAGTACCACTAGCCCGCGAATGAAATGTAACCTTATGTACATAACTATTGTCCTATGTAACAATAGTTATTGTACATAACTATTGTTGCATAATGCAGAAGCATTATGCAACCTTTTAATAGTATCCAACATAAACCCAAAGCTTGGCACTGATGTGCCCGTATATACTATCTAACTAGAGAACATCTATATAGTTCTTTAGTTAGATAGTATAAACGGGGCTATACCATTTTTGTCAATGACAACGTCGTGGTGTCCACTATACTTGTTACTGTAATTGTACTGCAACTGTCATCCACTTGTTTTCAAAAAAGTTATTTAAAATGTTTTTGGTAAAAAAATTATGTATTCAAAATATTCTGAACATAAACTCACAGAAGTATTCGAACACTTTGAATAAACAGTTTATACTCAATAAAATCATGAAAATAACTATACATTCAACATTTCGTTGGATATCCGTCAGCTAAAATTACACTTATAAGGTATTTCTCCCACTTCTCTAGCGAGCCTTCGTGGTGTAGTGGTTCTGCACACTGAGCCGGTATTTCATAGGTCCGTGGTTGGATTCCCGGCGAAGGCGGTTGCATATTTTCATCTCTCCGGTCTCCAAACAAAACCTAATGTCTCTACAAGTGGCGCCCGAACTAAAAGGGTAGTGGATGAGGATTCTCCGCACCCAGAATTTGGTGACTAGGTCCCCTAAAATTGCAGTCGCCCTTTAAGAAGGGGAGTATATAAGATATTTCTCCCACTTCCCTAGCGTGCCTTCGTGGTGTAACGGTAGCACGCTAGGCCGGTATTCCAGAGGTCCGTGGTTCGATTCCCGGCGAAGGCGACTGCTAATTTTTCAATCTCTCTTGCTTCCAAAAAATCATAATGTCTCTATAGTGGCGCCCGAACTAAAAAGGGTTTTGGATCATGATTCTCCGTACCCAGGATTTGGAGACTAGGTCCCCTAAAATTCTAGTCGCCCTTTAAAAAGGGGAGTATATAAGGTATTTCTCCCACTTCCCTAGCGAGCCTTCGTGGTGTAGTGGTTTTGCACACTAAGCCGGTATTTCAGAGGTCCATGGTTCGATTCCCGGCGAAGGCGGTTGCTATTTTTCATCTTATCTGCTTTCAAAAAAAAAAATACCTAATGACTCTACAAGGGACGATTCTTGAATTAGTTTCCGTTCCCTTAAATCTTTGCGTAAGATCTTTTGACACAGATAACGATTCACTACATGCGCGCGCATGTTGGTGTCGTGTGCAGCGTCTAACAGTTTCTCGCACCTCAGACCTCAGGAGCTGACAAGCGAGGAGTTACACGATCTACATTCGCAGCAGCATACGGTGGTTCAACGAAAATTTAGTTTTAATGAGGAGCCAGAGATGGAGGAGGTTGTCCCTACAGGAGATATAAAGGAGATCCTGGGAATGTGGGAGAAAGTTGCTGGATAAAAATCACCCCGAAAAAGTCGCAACTGGTCGTGCATCGAAGTTGTTCAACGAAACTTACCTAATTCGTTTCCGCAATATCCTGAAAGGGAGGAAGAAACAAATCACCTTCGACAGTTTTTTTAAACGATCTGTAGGTGAAAATGAGCAAAGCTTGAAGAAAAAAGCGCAGACCAATGACGAAAATTAAGCGTTTTCGTAAGCACTTCACTTTTTCTTTTAATTATGTTTTTATAGAATGTGCATTTGTTATTTATAAATAAATGTTTTTTCTTGTAAATACATTTTTCTTATTCAAAAACTCTTAAAAAAAACTGAGGAGGTGCTTTGGGAGCTGGAACGGATTAATGGCATTTCAATTAATTTCAATGGGGAAAATTGCTTCGAGATACGAGTAATTTGACATACGCGCAAGCTTACGGAACGAATTAAACTCGTATGTCGAGGTACCACTGTATATTTATCAATATCTTTTCGTTTATTAAACTTACTTGATTCCTTCCTTCCCAGTTCTAAATTTAGGTTCAATCCAAATAAAATTCGCAGATAATTCTTTTTGATTTACTTTTTCAATTTGTATTTTTTAGAAATGTTTCGAAAAACATTGTTTGAATTATGACCTATAAAATATGTACCATCACCTTAAAGTATATTTATTTCTAGGCAACCCGCCAAAAATTACATTTTTTATTCATAATTTCCCGAGATATACGTGAATATATATATTGGTGTGTTTCGAAATTTGACATGTTTTATAACCGACAATAACGCCAAATGTGGTTTATGCACTTTTTAAGATTTGTTTGAAGAAGGAACGATGTACCTTTTTCTCCTGCGCAAGCACAAATAAAAAAACAGAAAGTGCTATAAATTAAGGATTTCACCAAGTGAATATTATTCTTGGTGCAAACTGGAAAAATGCGCCAAGATCGATTTTAAATTTTCTGCTACGTTCTCACCGAGTTTTACAAATTTAATATTTCGGCATAATTTCAGTCATAGAATCGAAAAATTGGGAAATGCAAAAAATCGGCATGTCATTTCAGAAAGGTCCAATTTATGTCAAAATACACTGTTATACATAAATCTAATATATATCCTAAGTCGCTATTTTGAGATATGAAAAACACAAATTTAATTTCGTCAATTTGCCCAGTAGAATGAGAAATATAGAACTGTCACGCCTTTTTTTTGTGCAGACTGTACCTAGGTGTATTTAATGGTGTATTTAATTATGGCAAAGCACACTAGGGCTATCTGCCTAAGGGCAAGGATGCCTTCGTGGAGGACTTTCTAAGGGAAACTGGCTCGTATACACGTTACACATGGGGAAAACCACAAAAAAAACCATGCAGCCAGCACTGTTCGTTCGCGGGATTCGAACCTCGGACCGAACTACCAGTGTTCAGCGACTTTACCGCTCGGCCGCTGGTGGGCCAGACTGTACCTAGAGATGCCAAATTGTACACATAAATAGTGATGTGCCCGAGCCTTAAGGGGAGTTGGAACCCCAAAATCTTCAAAAAATTGTGACTTCGGATTTTTGCATTTTCAAATTTTCTACACGTTTATCTTTCTAAAAAATACCATTCTTAATCTCTATGAAAATTAGAACTGTAAAAAATCTAGTTTTAATTTGTCATCTACTGCTTTGATCAATGAGGATTTTTACATAAAAAACGCGTTTTTTTCTCCAAAACGTGATATTTTTATACTCGATGTACCTTTTCTCAGGAACTACTGCTCACAGGTATCTAAACTTTTTATGGCTTATTTATTAGGTTCCCTAATATTTACTGAAATGAGCTTTTTTGTAATAAACTTTGAACAAAATCCTTTTTTATTTATTTATTTTTTTTTTTTTTTTTTTTTTTTTTTTTTTATGTGAGAAAAGTGCTAAAATGTTACTATGCCTAACAAAATATCCTGTAATTTACTCTAAAATTCAAAATGTTTCAAAGCTCATTCAGTATAATCAAATAGGTTATACTTTAATTACAGAAAGAATTTCAAGCTTGTATCTACAGCAGATTTTGAGAAAAGGTACATCGAAAATAGCCAATTTAGTATTGTCGGTATAGGGGTTTCTGATACCCCTTAAACCACGAAGCCCGAATTTTGAATATCGAACTTGTTTTTATTTATTTTATATTTTAGGCGAATTTAACCTTAAATTTGAATTACCGATATTTTTCTTACAGGAACGAACTACCGAAATCTGCTGATGCAGAGAGTCAGCCTTTAAAACCTCCTGTTCTCTATCCAGACATCGGTGAACCCCACCCTTATCCATACTTTATCGGCCCTGATCTCATCTTCATTAAACCCAAGCAAGCAAAAAAGAAAGAGGTAAACTTTATTGTTTCATTACTTTATCACTTGCTGAATCTCCAAAATCGTATCCTTGTCGAGATGTGGAGATCTAAATTATAGGACTGATTTATGCACAGAAACAGAATCTTTTTACATGTACCTGTTACAAAGAAAATCTAAAAATTTCCTTCCCTTAAAAGTACTATATATTCCTACGCATAACGCGGGTTATCAATACAGAAAATAAGATCGAAATTTACGAGTGCGAATTATACCCCGAGTATAAAAATGGTAGATTTAAAAATAAAGAATTAGCATTAAAAAACGTATTTTGTGTGTTTCAATTAGCTGTGTCACCTGATACGAAGTCTGATAATGGCTCGGGTGGTGAATTTAATTCTGGCAATTTTACTTTTCCATCTGCTTAGCACACTTTTGCTGCTTCATTCTTAAATTCAAGAGCTCTGCAATACATGCGTAATTTATCCATCTTTTCCAACGACCACACTTCGATGAAGATTATAATCATAATTGGTATCGTAATAGAACGCACCAAGATTTAAATCAGAGTGCACTGTTCGTCTGGAGTGAGCAGTGCATATTCAAACGTTTTCCAGTCTTGCTTCCTGTAGCTCGTCCGTTTCAGCCGAAAGCTTGGAGCAGTGCGTACTCGAAGGTTTTCCAAGCTTGCTTCTCGTTGCTCGCCTGTTTCAGACGAACGGGCTTGAGCAGTGCGTACTCGATAGTTTCCAGGCCCGCTTCTCGTTGCTCGTTTATTTCTGAATCTCGTAAAGCCTTTTTCTCGTGCTTGAAGTGTAGATCGAGCAATCGATTTCCATTTTGGTGGCATAATTGATTTCACAGCGAAAGTAATGCTTTGTGACGACTATTTTGAATTCACTTTCGAGAAAAACAAAGAAAATGCTTGCGATGCAATAACACTCGTGTTAATACGTGAAAAATTAAATATTTTACGTTTTGCTGAGCGATAACACACTTTAGAATATTTTAATTTGGTTAGGGACAACACATTTCTGTCAAACAGCCGAGTTTGTTTATTAAATTCGAGACAAATCAATATAATTGCAATTTCCAAAGCGGTAGTTTTTTTGGTACTTTTCCGTTTCGCCGGCGCAAATCTCGCCAAGCAGACTTTTTGGCGACAACATACAGTATACACATAAAAAATATTAAAAAAATGTTAGTTCTAAGAATTTTTTATTTTGAAGGCATAAACATTTTAATATCGCTTAAAATTTTTATAAAAAGCCAATAAATAAAAGACAATAAATTTGTAAAAAGACATTAATTTAAGCAGTTTACTATGCTTTCATGATTCAACATCCTGATTTCGCCGGTTCGTATCACGTGAACCCAAGCGATCTCATCTCACATAAACTACTCTACAAAAATCTAATTGCTTCTCAGTAATTATCTACGTTAATTTCAAAGTTAAATCTTAATTTGGAACACAAGTTTAAATGCAAGAAATATTTCAGTTTCGTACGAATAGCTTACTCAGTCAGAAGTTGTGTAAAACTGCAGTGCTTTACTTCGCTAATGCATTTCTCATTAGAATTGATGAATTTAACCCTTGACTTTACCTTTTCTATATTTTCGGCTTCGGATAAGCGCTGTGATTGCATACTAATTGACTTAGACTAAAAATGGCCTTAGACGTAAAACTGTACTATCTGATAAAAATTCTATGTAATTATATGCCAGTATTGAAAGAAACAATCAATCTGATAAGAAAAAGGTGTGACTTGTTTTGAAAATGAGGCGTAAAACGTTAACAGCTAGAATATTCTGTTTGGTATCGGTTGTACCATTATTGGCGACTTTATCGCTTGCGCCGGCAAAACGGAAAAGTACCGTTTTTTTTTTTTATATTGCCGAGTTTTCTGATTATATTTGAAACATGCATAGCTTACGCTTTATACAGTGATAACGCAAAGCTATTAAAACGTTGAAATTTAATCAAAAGTTCGTTAATTTAGAGTAAAAGTATAAGGAGTGCGAACCCCAGGGACTGGTTTTTGAGAGATCGTATGCAGACATTGACCTTCCTCTTGTTTTGAAGGTCGAGTGTGGACAATTTTATAAAGATCGTAATTAAACTGTATATTTGTATAAAAGACAAGCAAACATCCATCTTTTTATACAGAGATAAATTTAAATTGTTGTTTGCTGCAAAAATTATTAAAATAACTGTCGTACTATTAATCATCTACCATTTTACAAAAGTAAAGTATTTCCAACAGATTCAAATTCAGTGCAGTTTTAACTATATTGTACAAAATCTGAAGTGGCCAGTGCATGACCTTCCGCTAACTTCATATTAAGGCATGGAATTGGCAGAATATCAACGATCTTTACGTGAACTATCTCTTCCAGTTCACCTTTAAGAAAAAATAAGATCTAATTAGCCCAAAACGCATTAGCCCAGAAGGACTATTAATTTCGTTTTGATATTTTGTGTCGAAAACGTTAAAAGTCTGAATCACTTTTCAAAATTTTGCCATCAAATATTATCGCCCTGTATTATATTTAAAGAAATTAAATAATGAAGAATTTGCATAAATGTAGGTATGTTTCTCGCATTATGATAAAACAACGTGCATTTGGAAGGCCAAATTTAGAATTTGTTTTATTATCCATTTCCTATTTTGTAAAGCATTTATGAATTTTGGTTAAAAAACTCTACGATTTCAAAGCGAGCAATGGCAACACTACGGAAAAAAATTATCTCTATCGGTGAAACTGTGTATTGTAAATTCTGAAGATATGCCGTTTTGCTGTTTTTAAATATTTTGTGATATTGCTGTTGAATTGAATTTTATGTGGTTCAAGTGCGAAAAACATGATATTTAATAAATAAAGGTAACACAAAAACCGTTAAAAAAACGCCTTTTACGCGTAATATAAAATCTGAAAGTCTTTCAAATTTTCTTTTTTTATTAATACTTTCTTTTGTATATAAATTCAATGTTAATTACAAACACAGTTTCTTTTCTAATATTCTATTCTCCAAACCAATTAATGGGCAATGATAGTAATACATCCTCACGTACATATCTGTTTCATGCTTTGATTTGAAAATATCGTATCCGTAATACTATTTCCTCTTGTCAAATAGTATTTCGAATTGAAAAATAAATGGCTTCACAATCATAAAATCTTTAAAAGCAGCGTATCTTCCAGAATTTCCGATGGAGTGCAAAGTTTTGCCCTACATTTCTTTTCATATTAATTGCATTATTTATTTTTCTTCTTATACTATTTCTTTAACTGTATTCGAATCCGTGGAGACCAAAATCTGTTCCTCTTATACATCTCAAAAACCCATATATACGAATTTTTGTTGGAATAGATTTCTTTCCCACTTGTCAAGTAGAATACTACAGTATTAGCAATAACCTACTTAAAGTAAAGCGATTACTTCTCACTTGGAGATCTCTGTGCGGTTTCATCCATTGTATACAGTTTCTCCTTAGGACATAATTGTAACTGAAAGCATCAATAGCTGAACGTTGACGCTACACAAAGGAGAGGGAAGGTGCATTCAAATAAGAGAGCTACTTTTGGTCGCTTCCCAAAAATGATTGGTATGCCATCTAACAACCCCTGAGACCAATGAACCATGCACTAATGTGATTGGGGAAAAGCAGATAGAAAAGGGTCGCAGGTGTTTGGGCGACTTCGCTGTGAAAATGTTAAAAATAATACTTAGCGATAACATTTAGTGGCAGCTCCTTTTATCTGAATCGTGATTCCACACAAAAGTAAAAAGAACACAAAATCAATGCTAATATAATTTAATTACTTTATAACGAGAGCTCGTCTTCGTAATGAACTTATTCTCGTTGCCTTTAACATAATTCCAACAATACATTTAGTGCTTCTAATTGCAATGTGTTGTTCACAATCACATACCTACACTCGTTAAAAGTGAAATTGTAACACCATGACGGATTGCGCAAAGTGATATGAAAATAACAGAATCGGTAGACATCAGAGACATACGCAAATGATTAAATTGATGTGCGCATCTGGTCACATGATAACCAGTTTCCGCCTATAAAGACCAGTAGCTTAGCTCGCTGTGTATATGACATCAATGATGGATTGTTGTAACGGAAATATTGAAGAAGGATAGAAAATGCCTCGGAGACATGAGTGAGCTGAATACCAGCAGTTATCGTTTGAGGAAAGAGAACGTATCCTAGAATTGCATGAGCGCGGTTTGTCGATGCGCGTAATTGGCAGTCGTGTCGGACGGGACGCAAGAACATTTCAGAGATGTGTGGCATGATGGACGCAAGACCATCTGAGAACAAGGCAAAAAGGCATCGGGTATTGTTTTCAGACGAATCCCGATTGTGGGCAGATTTTCGGAGAACGTTACCTGCCAGCCCATATCGGCACACCGGAACCCCACATCGAGCTTCATGGCGTGGAATGGCATGATGATCCGGTACATAACACAAATAATTGGTCCACTTGTGCAGATCGCCCCCGGCACGTTATTGCAGCAGGACAATGCCCGCCTCAGGTACAAGATCACACTCTGAACAGCCTCAATAGAACTGACATCCTTCCCTTGCCGGCTGCCTTCCCCGATCTCTCTTCCATCGAGCATGTGTAGGCTGCAATCGGACGTCACAGACGCATACAGTAGTGAACCTGAGAGTAGCAATGGACTCGGCATCGAAAGAAATATCTCAGGGAACTATTAATAGCCTCATAGACAGTATGCCTCGCAATTTAGAGGCTAGTTTAGCTGCAAGTGATGGTCATATTAGATACTGAATCAACAGGTTAATTTTTCATATTTTTGTTTACTTCTTTAATCTTCTGCATATGTGTCTTATCTTTCCGATCCTGATATTTTCACATCGCTAAGCGCATTCGTTCGTGATGTTACAATTTCACTTTTGAAGAGTGTATTTTAAATATCAAATTTTAGAACCTTTGGCTCAACTCCAAACATATCTTTTACAAAAATCTGTTTAAGAGCTTCAAACAAATTATCACTTCTTGTTCATAAATTTCAGCCGAAATTTAATTTTGTTACGAAATGTCCAGGCGTGGTAAGATAGCTTCCGCAAAGCAGGTTTAGGGTTGCCATAAAATGGCAAGGGAAGGCAACGTTGTCACATTTCGCAAAAAATCGCTCATTTGGCGTCAAAATTGGCGATATGCCATGGACGGATGAGGAGCCTTCTGGAACGAATTCTGACTAGTTTAGCCCAGAATGTTCTCGAACATAAGCCAAAAACTATATAAACCCTGCTGGTCCGCAGTGAGTGAGTGCCTCGTCTAGAGGGCGAGATAGTCTCGAGTTAGTCAGTCCGTGCTGAGTCGATCGAGTTGATAGCCGAGCAGCGAGTGCCGAGTGGGTCGTCGAGTGCATCGAAGAGTCTCTTAGTGTATCGCGGTTAGTGCATCGTCGAGAGAGTTCGTTAAGCTCCGGGAACGACTGAACCGCAGAGTCGGGAGTTGTGCTCTGTGTGTAGTCGAGTGCATCCCGAGTTGTATCATGGAGAGTCTCGAGAGTATTGAGCTGTACTCTAGTGCTTTGCCGTGAAGCTGTCTTCATCGTGATAGCCTGATAGCCTGAAGGCTGTGTCGCTAATTGTTCCAGCGTGTTTACAGTAGATCTTCGACGGCTGTAAAAAGTGACTTTGAAGCTGTCCTGATTAATATTGGCTAAATAAAGTGTGTTTCGAAACTTAATCAAGTGTCGTATTCACTCCAAATCTAGGAACCCCGTACGAACGTGAAGGAAGAAAACGCAACAACTGGTGTCAGAAAATAACGTAACAATATGTTATTCCTGTTCATGTAAAGTCTTAAATGCTAAAATTCAAAAGTTTTTGATTATATTTTACTACAGTCTTCCATTAAAACCTGTTATGAGCCTCGTAGTAAAGTACCACTATAACATAGTTGCTATAGCTATAGATATAATACATATACCAAAGAACGAGAGACGCCAAGATAATGTAATGTATAATGAAATCTCTAAATTAACTGCTTCTTTTATTTTATAGATTACTCCACCGCCACCTCCCATAGTTCCAGCTACAATTCCGCCTCCACTTCCAATTGAGAGTCCCACGTAAGTAAAACGAAGCCTTATGATTATGTTAGGTTATTTATAAACTTGTGAAACATTAAAAAATTTCATAACAAATAAACTATTCAATGAACCAAATTTTATCGTACTGAAAATAAGCAAATTCTTTAAGATTTCTACATATTTCATAGAAGCTCAATGCGTCTACATCTGTTAATACCGCAGACATTTATGCGTCTTTAGAAGGATTTAAATAGCCGTGCAGAAAAACTGGCTCATACCATAGTTGAAATGAAATAGTCATGATAGCCAGGTCGTAGAATCAAAATATGAAAAATAAATCGGTATGTCATTTCAGAAAATGTCCAATTTTGTGTCAGAATACCTATGTTAGAACAATGTTATTTGTAAATCTAATATAGAGGCTAAGTCACACTTTCGAGACATGAAAACAGAAAATTAAATTTCGTCAATAGGCCCAGTGGAACGAGAGATATAGAACTGATTTTTTGTTGTGTAAGGTGTACGTATGTATTACGTATGTCTTATGTTACGTACGTATGTATTACGTATGTACGTATGTCGCCAGTAGGATCTTTTATTAATTACAATAATGTTGAGAATGTTCTTCAAAATTATCAATTGGATACATTATATACTATTAAAAATAGTATAGTTCAATTTATATCAATCAAATATTTTATAATATCCATAACCTAAACGTTCTATTTATTAAAAAAAGAACACATTTACTGTTTTTAACTTACAAATAGATTAACTGTGAAAGATAAATTAAAATTGTATGTTTATTGGATGGTAATATTCTGAGAATGTTTTTCCACGTGGAAAATAAGTTAAAAACTTGTGACATCTGTGTTCAAGTTTTACTATTAAAATGATATTTAATTAACTCTTTCCTTTCTGCCTGCACAAGATTCGCTCATTCTAGAACTTATATAGTAGATATAGGTGGTAAGCACTTCGACTGTAAAATTTAGAGATTTATGGACAGAGTGCGAGAGTCTGGCCTGCATTCTGTTGCTCTGGGGAGTGAAGAAAACAGACTGTTTGAGACTCTAACTCTGGTCTCGCTGAGAAATCCTAAGTGTGGGTTTGAAATTCCGTCGCTGTGTAGGCAACTTTGTCTAAGTAACCCAGTCTCTAGCCAAAATAAATTTAAATTTCTGCAATTATGTTCTTTCGGAAAGGAGGCTTTGGCTTTTAAACCAAGTCCAGGTTGTTTCGTAAATTTGTGTATTAAAATGATAAATAAAATGTGTATTAAAAGGATAAAAATTATTTTTGAATTTAAGCAATCACAAATAGTGGTAAAATACACTTTTAAGTGTTTTATTTCTGTGTCTGTCTGTTTGATGGTTAATTATTCTAGCGTTGCTAATTCACCTCACAGAACAGAAATAACATTTTATTGATAATGTATTGATAAAGCTAAGTTATTTGGAACCCACAAAAAATATTACGATTGCCCCCCCCCAAAAAAGTGAAAAATAGTTACGATTTTCTACGGTTACGTAAACTACGATTAATTTACCAACAGAGTCATATATAGTCGATTTAGATTGGATTGTATGAAATTAAATACCACCCTGTTATTTCAAATGAAAAGTGTCGAGTACGCAAGAAAAATAAAATTTTACGATAAGAATTTTAATAAAGACAAAAAGAATTTAATAATTTGGTGACCGTTTCTACATCTTGTCATAACTATTAAAAACAAAAGTTAAGAAAGCACCAGGATGTTTACAACCGGTACTAATTAATTTACAGTGTGATATATTTCTCATTTCAAGATTTGAAGATACAAATCTAATCAACTTTTATTCGTACTTTTAAAAAGATAAATTTCCCCCAACTACGAATTTTTTCATTAACAATCGTCGCTTTGCTTGGGATACATTTAAATGTGAACAATTTTTCTTCCGTAGTTGAAATTTAGCAAGTCTAAAAAAATTACCTGATTCATCTATGTGCGTCTGCGATCAGTGATAAGGATAAATATCATTTTTTCCTAAGGAAATAAACTGTGTAAAACTCGAAACTGCATCGAAGTTGTAATATGAAATGGAGACGTTTATAATTATTTACATGCAAACACAAGTATTTCTCTGCACGTATTTTTTTAATTAAGGAAATAAATACAAAACTATTCGTGTTCCACGAAGTATTCCACGAGACTTACAGATGTAAGTATATGACTCACAGTACAAGGAGATATAGTTCAACAATAAAAATATAATATCTAAGTCTGGAGAGAGCAAAGAAGAAATATAAAATATGAATACTATTATAATAAAAATACTAAAATATACCATCAATAATTAAACTATACTCCTATAAAAGAAAAGAAAAAATTCATAATTACACAATAATAGTACTCCTATAAAGTACTCCTATAAAAGAAAATAAAAGAATTAATAATAACACAATAGTAGTAAACATGAAATAATACTTATTAATAATACTGATACAAAGGGAAAATGGTACATCATCAATACAATGCACCAATACATAAAGTAATCATATGTAGACAACACGCAAAATAATACAATGACACATAAATGTTAAAAATCCATTCATATAAATGATAATACTGAACGTTCAAAGAACACATAAAGAAGCGCAATACTGCAAAGGTTTCGGAGTTCCTAAAAAGTTCATAGAAAACAGGAGACCAGAAAACAGACAGCTACCCTAAACTCATTTTAAATGCATTTCTGGCACTCGCATGCAACCTACAATGCAATAAAATATGTTCCAGATCCTTCACAGCATCGCCACAAGCACAGAGTTGGTTAGTAAACAATATTGAAATGAAGTAAGTAAATTCCAATGACCGGTCAAAATCTTGAGTAAGTTTATAATCCGGTTGAAAATGCGTAAGTCGTTGAAAAGTACTTGGGAAAAATCTCTTAGTCCACTGGGTCGTCGAAGAAGCAAGATATTCAGTATTCCAATCAATCATAGTTTTCTTCCAAGCCGTATGCTTCCAATAAGACTTGGGAGCAGACGACATTAAATCAATATCAGGATAAGTCGTTTGCTTAGCCAAATGGTCAGCCCTCTCACTACCGAGAATACCACTATGGCCTCAAACCTAGGAAAAATGAATATCTCCAGTGTGTCCAACCGCATGTAATATACAGTGAATTTTTCCATCACCAGTTTTTCAGTCGATAGTGTAACATGTGAAAGAAAGTGAATCTGTGCAAGTAATATATTTAAACGTCTCAATCTTACGACAAGAGTTTTGTATCCATTTAATGGCAAGACTTGAGCTCAAAAGCTCGGCTTCTAAAACACGACCTACATCTGGTATTCAATATTGTATAGCTACATTCTTCCTGCCATCTTCCTAAATAACAAATGCAAGCCCAATATTTCCATTTCACTTACTACCATCTATTGAACAAATAATTCTATAGCTTGGAAGACATTATCAATATAAATAACAATTGTCACAGGGTTTCTGTCTGAAGGGTGAGGTAAATTTGGAAAAGAAATCAGCTCATTCAAAGGATTGTAAGATTTGTTATTAGAAAGTCTATCTCTAACATCTAGTTCCTTTAAGGCTATTAAATCAATAGGCGGAAGAGCAGAAATAACAAATGCTGCCTCATAATAATCAGTCCTGTAACTACGAATAATGGGGAGTAGAAATCTTCTTTGAAGATTCTAAGGAGTTTACAGTTTATTTTCTAAGGAATTTACAGTTTATTTTCTTCCTTAATTAATTCACTCAAGCTCTTGAGGCAGAGGAAATGAAGGGACCAAGGGCCTCAGTTACAGCCAAAAACATCTCGGACAGAAACGTCCTGGATAAAACAACGCAAGGAGAAAACGTCGTGGTACAAAACATCGCGGGAGAAAACATCGCAGAGAAAACATTGCATTTTAAAATATCGTGGTCAAAAATAAAGCGGTTCATAAACTTGGCAGTTTAAAAACACAGTCGTCAAAAATATCGTGGTAAAAAATAAAGTATGTACAAATCATCGCATACATGGGTTTTTCAAATCGCATAGTGACATATTATGTAACTGAATTTCTTCATAACTAACAAATTGACATCCAAAAAATTGTTTGAATGCTATACATAAAAATATTTAGGACACATTAAGAATAAATGGAAACAAAACAATATGTAATTTTCAATAAAACAGTATCAGATTAACAAATGTGAAGGAAAATAATTTGATCATTAACTAAGCAATTTTTATACAGGTAACCTTACGCAGTTATTTATCTTATAAACATTTAAGTTGCATTAATTTTTTACTCAATTTAAGTTTTTAAATGCTTAAGTTTCTTTCTTATTTTTTCAGCAAAAATTTATTAGTTCATTCAAATATATGAAATATAAAAGTAAAAGAATCCCTCTTTACTCCTTGAGCTCTATGATCTTTATACGAACATGCATTTACAGCTTTCAAAACCTGAAAACGCATGTATGTTATATTATCGTCATGCGATGATTTGTAGGTATTTTAATTTTTACGACGATGTTTTTAAACAGCGAACTTTTTGAACCGCTTTATTTTCGACCACGTTATTTTGTACCACGATGTTTTCTCTTTGCGATGTTTTCTCTTTGCGATGTTTTCTCCCACGATGTTTTGTACCACGACGTTTTCTCCGCGACGTTTTCGTCCGCGATGTTTTCGGAGGACACCGTGACGTCATGCCTATTCCATCTATTCTACCCTCCTTGGTATGTACATTGCGCGGAATGTTAAATGTTGTCATATTTTCTTTTTTATATTCGCTATACTATTTTATATTTGGAATGTAAACTGATGAAAATATCTAAGTGATTTTGCTCCATATATCTTTAGCTTTGAAATTGTTGCTGCTTGACGTGGTAAAATGGGCTCCAAATTTTTCGTTCATTTTTTTTACATTTATGGTAGGTTTATTCGCAAATTTTGCTAGAACTATGAACGCACAAACATACTAATTCTGTGTTTGAAAGCAGTGGAATGTATCAAAATGTTTAATTTAATTATTCTTTGCTGTGAAGCTGTGGAT